CTGAAAAACAAAGTACCGATACGAAAGAAAGATCTGCTGCAGCTGCAGCTTCACATGGATGGAACGTGCCATGTAAGAGTTCAGTAACGTTTCCAATATTTTACCCTTTTGTGCTTTAGAGAAAAAGGAATTTTGCATTGAAAGGAGGATTCACTGTATACCTAGAAATCTGTAAGACACAATTTCTCTCCTACTCATCGCTTCTAATCAGACAGATGGATACATTGCTATGGAAAAAATAAAAAAAAAAACTAAAACAATGACTGCATCATTTTTATTTATTTCTTGCATTCTCTGTTCACGTAGCAAGAAATTTAATTCCAGTTGGATCAGTCTCTTGTGATATTTTTTTCTTTCATTTAATATATTTTTTAAATGCTTAGAGGCATTATGACAGAAAACCATGTATTTTTTGCCCTGGATTATACCCATCATCCTTACCATTACGATGAGACAAAAGCATTAAAGTAAAATTAATCATGTCAAAAGATTTTAGCAAAAAACAAAGGAGACCATGCATAAAGCATCGCTTTGACTAGTGTGAAGTCACGCTCTGATTAAAAACATATAATGAAAGTGAAAGTAATACATCATTGCCTTAGCAGTAGGGTTTTTGGGAGAGCTATGCAATTCTGAACACAAAAAATCTTTATAGGCTCTGGATTTTGAAACTTGCAATTATTACAGAATAATTCTAACAAACAAAACATTGTTTCACTTCCTTAAAGTTTAATTAATCTTAAATGTTGCAGTTATAACAACCAACCGAAGGAATTCTAGGATTAAACAAGGACTCCTGGCAGGACCGTAGCTGGTAATTAAACCCGAAGCAGCAGTGGCTGGTTCTGAGCAGTGAGGCATGAGGTGGTGACACACAGACCCCCCCACTGCCCCACGTCCAGTAAGCAGTTATGAGGACTGTGAAATATCATGGCACAGTGAAACCCCACTAATAGAGCAGAACTTTTGCTGTTACTAAGGACTGTCAAACACCCATCAGCCGTTCAGTTTGTGTCACTGGCAGCGGTAGCCTGTTGCTGCCATGTGACATAGGTAGCACCCAGTTAAATGCACTGGTGTTTGTGCACGTGTAGGCAAGCCTGAAAAGAAACCACGCAGTGAAGATCTGTTCACTGTGCTTTGCCATAGTCTACAAAAGCCTCCACTTTGCTCAGGCACAACTGTGCAATAAGTAGTGTTTCAAATTAAACAGCAATGTGCACATTATGAATCTCAGATTAGGGCTGTGCCCACATCAAGTAAAATTAGGTGGCAAAAAATGTTTGTAAAATGCCACTTACTTTCTCATTTTTCTTCTTTATCCTGTCTCTATTCTTTGTTGCCAACATAGAAAAAATAACTCTCTGAGAAATACCAGACAGGAAAAACACACAGTAATACTAGACTGTGAAAAATCTACCGATCCCTTGAGCCATAGCATTCTTGCCTATAGATGATGACATTAAAAAATTGGAAATGGGTGCATGCTTCCCCTCCTCTTCTGGATCTGTGAACAAGGCAAGTTGTTTTCCTGATACCTGTAGAATGACTCCCATTAGTACCGATGCATTTGGTGCTTTGGCTAGCCAGGCAGAGAGAGGTGGGCAGTATCCCCTGCCAATAGATGTAGTCTTGTCACAGGAACAAAATGAGATTGCTACTCTGCTGAGCTGTCATACTCGATAGCTTGCGCTGTTCCACCTGCAACTGTCTTCATAGCTCCAACTCCAGCGCCACAGCTTGCATGGAGCCAGTAGTTTCTGATGGTTGATCTCCTCCTGTTCCTTACGCATCGCACAAGGCAGGACGCAGAGCCCTAAGCAACCGAGTAGTTGCAACAGTCACTCTCCACGCTGAGAAGGAAAAAGGCAACAGGCAAACAGCTCCCTCTGAAACGGGTTTGCAGGCCCTGCTGAGTAACTTCCAGGGCTCCTCTCAGTGGAGGGTGACAAGAGGAGATTCAGTCTCCTCTCATCCGTCTCCTCCTCAATGGCCCTGCCACTGCACCCAGGACTAAGTGTTTGCAAGCTTCTTTCCCACCTTCCCTACCCCCAAATGCCACTGGCACAGAGAGCAGAAAACGAGTAATGTAAGATGGGTTTGGAGGAGGGAAAGGGGAATTTCTGCGCACATTTACATTGTGTCAGTAAGCCCCTAAAGCCTGGCTTTTTGTTGGTGCATGGGGGAGTGTACTGGAGGGCAGAAGGTTAAAGAAAAGACTTTGTAAACGTTTGCTAGTACAGGAAGAAATCAAATACACCTAAGGCAACAGTAAGATAGAACACCCTAAAATACCAGACAACAAGGACTAAGATTCTTCCCATCACAGAACCTTATGAGCAGGACCCGGCTTTTGCTTTGTCCCTGTTCACTAGAGAGCAAACTCCTCATTTGCACTGATGAGTTGGAGGCGAACTGCAACCTCAGGACTGACAGCACCGTCCAAACAAGTGAAAAAGAAACAGAAAAAAAATCTTCCTCCTTCGCCGCTGATTGTACATCTCTGATAAGAATAAACAGACCAATTATTTTCCAAAACTGTGGACTGGGAGAGAGGTAAAAGGGTAAAGGAAGGAAACAAATGTACTTCTTCCTAAATTGCAAAAAGCACATGGAAAAATAAAGATAAAACAATGTCCTTAAATTCCCACACACCGTAAATGTCATAGTACGTTGATACAACACCATGACTGCACTGAACTATCACCACACTATAATGTGATTAGTTTGTCATCTTCCCTAAAACTGCTCAGTCACAGTTCTTCAAGTCCCTGCACTCCTATGCTGTATAGTCCTTCAATGTTTTATGGAAAGGACAGGACAAAAGTTCTACTCCAACTTGCCTCCACTTCCCATCCTCTCTTATATTAAGTTAGAAAATAAAGCAGGGGATACTTGAAACTCTTATTTCAACTTCTTTTTAAAAATAATTATTGCTACCATTTGGTGAGTAGCAATAATACCCTCTAAGAAATCATGCTTGTTAACATTTAGTCTTTTTCAGTGTGAAAAGATATACTCCAACAGTAGTCCAGGCCAAGAAGGCATCCTTTTCTAGCAGTTTTTGTAAGAAGAGGATTACTCATGTCATGAGAGGGCTGGGTATTTGACAGCCACTGTCTCAGCCGACATTGAGACAGATTCTGGGACCTTCAGGACTTCCAGTGCTGAGCACCAAGTGCTTGAACATGAGCGAGCTAAGACTGTAGCAGATGCATTATCTTTTAATCACAGCACAGAAGGTTACATGCATTAACCAGAATGGAAAGAGAATTTTTGTTTACTATTTGTTACTACTTGTTAGACGTAACACAGAAAAGACTACATTCTTTTCATAAAATTACATAAAATTATTCAGAAACACCTCTCAACACCACCACAGATGGTGGTGTTATTCAAATGCTAGCGATGGATGGATTTTTAACCAGAGCATTTAGGTATCATGCCTCTGGGTCCAGTATCCCACAGTCTTGGAGACAGCATCACAATGTAAGTAACCAAGAACTGAATAAATTTCATTCTTACAAAATCTGACACATCTACAGATAGGTAAGATTCAGACTAAAGTTTTTTAATTAGTGGAGAGTTCAGATCTTGAAGCAAGAGATCCATTTCTCCTGCCTTTCCTGGTGAGCCACTGGATTAGATTAGACACAACAAATTCAAAAAACCTGAACACTTCTGCCTTACGTAATATCATTGATTTTTCACTGACTTACCATCTTCAGAATTTTCTTAGAAGTAGCGTACAGAGGTGAGTATCTTATCTCATTATTCTGAAAAATGTGAAGCATAGTATCTTCCCTAGTACAGACGCTGTAGACTTTTCTAACGTACAGTTCATACGACCTTTTGTAATTGCCATTCCTACACAATACCCCCAACTATTAGTCCAGGGCATCTATACCTAAGCAGTCTTTACATGGCAGCACTTGGAGAAAGGCTCCTAAATTTTCCATGGGAGAAAGCAATTTGCAAAGGCATCATTTCAAGTCCTGCATCATAGCAGTCTTTTGAATTCTTTTTCATCTTAACCTGTGCATATAATATTAATGTGGATGTATCCCATTAAAGTGCTACGGATAAGGGATGAAGAACAGAATTCTGTAAAATGTATTTTACTGGGGAAAAAGAGCAGGTCTATTAGGAAATCCAGGTTTTACCAGTTGTCCAGTTTTAGAAGTATGGCTTTGATTTATGGATCAAAATTGCTCATTTATTATTTTATCTATACTGCTTTGGGCAATTTTGACAGTTAAAATTTAGTTTTATTGACCAATGCAGCCAGTTTAGCCACAAGGGGACTAATGCACACACAGCCTGCTGCACTCAAGAAGCTATGATTTGATTCCATGACCAAGTCAGACTGGGAATCGCAACCAACATAACAATAAGTTCCAAATCTCGATGCTCGAGGCAAAATACTTACTCTAAAACACAATCAACCTTTAAAAGAAGGTGGGAAAGAATTTTGTGATAGGAGCCTCCGTGCACTGTTTATTGTAGCTGATATATTCCACCAATGCTTCTGTCAGCAATGGACGCAGAGCAGTACAGAGGAAACCTTTCTTTAATGATTGTGGACAACAGATAAAGCTGGAAGAAGGAAATGAAAATGCAAAAGAGAATCAAAGGTGTGCTCTAGTACTATGGCTTACCAGGGATCTGACTCCGAGAAAACGGTCTCAAACATTGCCTTTTTTTTTCCCTAAACCAGATTTTATTCATATGTACATAAATATGCATGTATTCATGTTGCAGCATGAAAGACTTACAAGTTTACTTAAAAAACTTACTGGAATGATTTTAAGCCAATGTTAATTTAGGCCTATCCTATTATAAAATTAGCATCTTCTGCAATCTCAATTTATTGCTCCATTGTGAAGCCCCTTGTGATACATAAACAAATCTCTGAAGAGAAACAAATCAATAAAGTGTCTAATTTGATTAACCATGTTTTTAAATTCATCAAGACAACTGTACAAAAACGAACCACTTACTTGTCAGTATTTTCCACGTCTTCTTTTCATCATCATAATACTGAACCAAATTGCTGGGTAGCCGGTCAGGTCCGGGAGGCAATCCTCCAACCAATAACAGCATTTTCTTATTGGAACGAATTCTTCACCCAAAACAAGAGGAAAGATGAACAACCACATTACTGAGGAGTATTTTTAGTGGCAACAAAATCATAACCATCAAAAGAATGTTCACTGCTTGCAGTTTTCTATTTCATTTTTTGTGTTTCTTTCCCCAATCATGTCTCAACAATTTTTTGAACCAAGCAGAAAAATGATCAGAAAAGCTGCATATCTCTCTACTCATGGAATAATAAGCTTCCTTTATGCAATTTGTTAGAGGTTCATTCTAGAACGACCTTTTTCTTATATTATCCCTTTAAATCATCACTCTTTACAGCTGAATACACATGAAATGCTCTGGAGTTGTACTAAGGTTAAGCATTAAAGTTGCATGTCAAAAATCGTATTAGTCAAAATCATTATTATAAGCCATTCTACACTCAAAGAACCTTGAAAAAATTAAGGTTATGCAGAGAGTTTGTGAGCCAACTCTTTAATCACACACTGAACTTCAGATATATAGTTTAGTACAATTAGCAGCACTGGGCTAATGGTTATGGGTTAAATGCTACTTACAAGCACTTTTGTTTGTTTAATTTAGTCCAGACTCTTGCTTCTACTCTCCCCCCCGGCTCCCCCCCTTCTCTTTGCTCTCCCCCTGTGCACCACTGGCTATAGCAACACCAATTGGTAAAAATGAGACTGTGATGTTGTTGTGAGCCTCCCCAGAGTGGAGCCCTGCCAATGCTTGCCACTGATCCAGCGGCATGAACCTGCTCAACTGTGCAAAGTCACTCTAATTCCCTCCCTCTGTTTTTCTACCTTCTCCCCCAGGGGGCAACCACTGAAAGGAGTGACTACCCACCCATCAAGAGCTGGCAATTCGCTGCTATTAACCGTGACCGTGATTCCCAATCTGCCTGGCAGTTCTTAAGAACAGGACTGCAATGTCTCATATGCAGTAAAAGCGGTTATCTGCACCCTGGCCTCCAACGCTCCACCTGATGAACGTACGATTTCTTTGCAGCATTAAGGGATTTAGCACAATTGTAAGTGAAAAGGGGAGGGGAGGCCCAGACCCCCAGATGAGCCCTGATGCTTTAATAGTCACTTCGCCTATAATTGAACTTTCATCAGTTATACTAAGCTTGGGTGCGATAACACTGAAATAAAGGTCTACGCTCGAAATGTTCCCGTGAAGTAGGAAGGTGACATAGCCTGGAAATAATGCATCGACACAAATGAATATGCAGGGGTACCATGCATTGGATGGAAAGCACCCTTGCCAAACACCAACATGTTTCCAAGCACGACAACATCACTGTAGCAATCTGTGTGTCAGTCTGCAGCAAAGACTCCTGACCAAGAAAGGTACAGAATGCCAAGAACCAAAGCCCACCACCACGACTGCACTCCGCGGGGGCAAACCGCCGCCCAGGAGCTCCAATCCCAGCAGTGCACTCTGGCAGCGGGTGCTTCACCGAGGCACACCAGTGGCTTAGCTCCAACTATTACCTAGACCGTGCTGGGGACCCACCAATTTACATTCGTACCAGGACTGCATCCTCTCTTCGTAAGACTGGGCAAAATGAACTAGGTTGTGCTGGAGACACGCACTACCCAGAAGGAACCTCCTTCAGGAAGGGGGCACGCAGCTGAAGGCTCGATCCACACGATGCTCAGGAATAAAACCTTTCAAATGGCTACCCAAAAGACAACTACAGACTGCAGATACATCTATCACAAGGATGGCCAGGGAATTATCTGGCAGGTGGCCTTGTTTGTTTTTAAATGGATTTAGGGCTCAGGGAAGGTCCTGAATTGACAGCGGAGGGAATGAAACCCTCCCTGCAGGGGCAGGAGTTACAGCGCAGGGGCAGTGACACTGCAATGTTCTCCCACGCTGTCCTAGCCCCCTGCTTCGCTCCTGACTTGGGGGGAGCCCCTGCGGTACTTCAGTCTTTCTGACAAGCCAGCCTTTGACCTCTGCACTGAACCTGCTACGTACTGTCAAATGATGACTGTTACCTGCCCACCAGACTGTATCTGTGTAGGATATCAGGAAGCGTCTCATGATCACTGTCGGCACCGACTCCACTCAGCGAGACCAAGCTCTGGGGAAAGCTTTCATAAGCATCGCCAGCATCTTGAAACATTCAATGTCCCCGGTGAAGTTTTTAATGAGAGAACATTTGATAAAAACTATGCAACCCAGGAGTACGATAAGCTATTTTTGGTATGACTTAGGGATGACTGCACACGTAACAAGTGGCAGAGCAAACCAGAGCCATAAGTCAGTTATGCATGGCCATCCCTAACGATAGAGAATAAATTGTTTATTCCAACCCTCTTGTGTTGTATGTTATATCACAATCAACTCCCTGTGTATTGCAAAATTCAGAATGCCCTTGCAAGGTTTACTTGATAAAGGAGTTTATTTTGATTTTCATCTTTCATCTGTAAAACTCCCTTCTAACTCCAAAGCACTGTGAAAAACCAATGAATGGCCAAGGCTCAATAGTTAAGGTGAAGAATGAAATGTCAGATGTAACTCTGAGTTTCCAGACTTTGGCAGCTGCAACTATCCTTAACATTACTTTTTCAGCTAAACAATCTGAGAAGCTACTGCTTCTTGAGAAGGAGCAGCACTGCTATATGGGAATGTTTAAAAAATATTTAGTATTTTTACATGTTTAAAATGGGAAGTAGCATGAACAGAAGCCCTTAATAAAAGTTTAATAAGAACTTAATAGCCAGCACAGTCTCTACCAAAAGCACAGGGTACTCTCACATGGCAAAGAAGAGATGGGTTCTTTTACTCCAAGTATCTAATTTATCTATATTGAGAGCTCTTCCAGTGAACCAAGTAAAGATAATACAGTGACTAAAGATATGCATGTTTTAAACTGATGTGTTTTCTTGGAGCCAATTCTGCTTTTTAAGTTTTCGTGTGAATTGCTACATTTTACATTTTGAAAAAAAAATCTTCTTTATTACATTGTATTTGTGTTTCATATTGCACTGAGCAGTACTGTTAAAATCTTAAAATACATTCTAAAATATGAAAGACATGGAAATGATCACTGCTTATATGCAGAAGACTTTTCCAAATATTAATAAAAACGTAATTCAGTGAAACACTACAATGAAGGCTGGATTTAAAAATATGTGTAATACCTTAGCAAGATAAAGTTTCTCCCTTTCTTGCATTATTGCATGTTTGCTATTTGGATAACTCAAGATTACCATGTGAAACGCTCTGCATTATATCTGAAACACTCTCTTTTCATAGTCCTTATTTCACAGTGTAATATACTATTCAGTTACATACTATGGTTCACAGTGTCCCCAGCAAGGCTATTATGATCATCTTGTGTTCAATTAACAGTAGTGGGTCCTGGTCAGGGAATGCTAAAATAATGTTAACCGTGACCAGGCAGGCTGATGTCATGGCAAAAAGCTGAGATAAACTTATCCATATCTTATCCCAAAAGCATTTCTTACACCTAGAATCCAAAACTCTAGTTCTCATTGATGAACATACACGTGTTGCTATTATTCTGCACACACTTAGCAGTTTCTGTTCTGCAAAGGTTTTAAAACACTTAATTCTCCCTAATTAAGTTCCTGGGTACCCCATGTGCTGTGAAATTTATTTTGTCTACTTACAAGGCTGGAAACCAAAGTATATTTTAAAGTCAACATTTTCAAACTTGTAGCGTTTCCTTCAGGCACACCAACCTAGGAATTTGAGAACCGTATAAGTGGCTTCGTTTTCAGAGATGTTGAACACCCATCAACATACCTAAACCCTACTAACTTCAAAGGTAGCAGCAGACGTGCATCAGCTCTAAAAACTCCGGTCACTAGTCCATAGTCTAAACTAACCATGAATACACAGGGCAAAATGCTGAGCTCAAGAGAGTTTATCAACTCAGAAGGCATCAGTAGAAAAGACAGTAACAGACCTCAATACTCCTGACAACCACTCCCACCCAAAGCTCTTTTGGAACCTTGATAGCCTCATGTTAATGGAAAACGCATGAATGGTAAATACTCTTCTTGTACATTGTTTTTCTTTATTAGCATATCCATCAATCTTGCACTGATGGGTTTTCCTTATCTGGGCAGTTAGTAGAAGTTCATTCTACCAAGGCTGGCAAGAAAACAAGAGCCAACAACAACAGGTTTGCTCCAGACTCTTCCAGTTTTTAAACAATGCAGTAAGACTCCCGTCTCTGCATTACCGAATGCAAAGAAATGGAAAGAATACAACGATGAAGAGTCAATCCTGTGGTTCTTAATGCATTTAGTGTAGCATTACACATCAGAAAGAAAACTGCATCTTAGACATACAGGTGATCATGCTAATCCATGAAAAAACAAACAAACAAAGACTATCCAGCTATGCTTTCCTCTTAACTCAGGGCTATAATAAACCCAAAAACCTGGATCATTCATTCTCTTTTAATATAGGCTATCACCATGGCTTTGAGTATGGAGCGAGGCAGGTGGCTCTTCAGACCAGGGACCTCACAGACGTGGGATGCCTCGCTCCTCCTTGAGTGCTGACCTTAAACGCAGCAGAGCCAAATTGAACTTCAGGTATTTGCTCACTGAACTCAGGCACAAATAAGAACAGCCAGAAGACCAGCCCACATCCAGCAAGAGCAGGTGAATGGGTGGTGAATTTTACTTACATCCACAAATCAAAGGATTTGAGAAACTGGAGGCCAACACATAGTGATACTGTCAAAACAAGAAGTAGCAAGAATCTCAGAAAAAGTGGCTGTATTAACCTGCAGCAGAAACAAAGTATTGCAGTGAGGTTTAGATACCAACCTCAAAGTAACAGACAAAGAGATAAATCATAGAATAATAGAATAGTTTGGGTTGGAAGGGACCTCTAAAGGTCAGCTAGTCCAACCCCCCTGCAATGAGCAGGGACATCTTCAACTAGATCAGGTTGCTCAGAGCCCCGTCCAGCCTGACCTTGAATGTTTCCAGGGATGGGGCATCCACCACCTCTCTGGGCAACCTG